AACACTATTATTCTCTTTGATTGAGAAATCAGATTGCATTTTGAATATTATGGCATTGATGTTCTTGTATCTGATATAACATTCCAATGTTTGAAGTTGAGAGCGAGCTGTTTCAACATTGTTTTATACTTTTATTTATGGAAAATCCACTGTGTAGTGGAGAGAGGTGTTTATATGCTGTGCCTAACCTTTTACTTTTCTTTCAAGAATATGCAATTTTCTTCGTTTTATGCAGAAAAGAAAAATTAATTTGTATGTCAATTCAAAGCTTGTTATGGAATTTAATTAAGGGTGTGTGGGGTCAGTGCATCTTCTTCCACTCAAAGCCGCAGGACAGTTTGTCTTCGTTGATCACTTCAGCATATATGGACGACTCAGTCAGCAAGCATCATATCAACATGATATCATATATGGAAATGGAAACAAGCTGAGCTGAGCTAAGCTGATAATGTAAATGAACATGATGCATGCGCCGAATAAAATATAATTGGTTGAAACAAGTAGTTTTCTGGCAACAATAGTGAAAGTGGAAGGAAGCAATGGTGCCTTCAATTCCAAAGAGCAGAATAGTTAGCAAAGGAGGAAAAAGAAGATAATTTCACCTGTTTCTTGACAGATTCCCGTGACAACGTATGCCCTGGGTTTTGACTTGATGTACATTTAACACTTTTTTTGTTTTTTCTTTTTTTTTTCTTTGGATCAACCCAAAAGCAAAAACTGAGTGTAAACCTGTAACTCCCAAGTACTGAGGGTAAACCTATGAGCCACAATCTCATCGCTTATTATCAAAACTGATAAAAATGGATTCATTAACAGACAAAATGTAGTAATGTGATGTGGGAATCTGCCATCCTGTACTGTACTAAAAACATGCTTAAACGGGATTCAGTAATCAAGTCTATGTTAGTTGGCATTTTTCGAGCTGAGGCTTCCAAAGCCTACAGATGCTGACAGCTCAACCATAATCACCATTCACCACAATTAATATAAACGCGCTAAAGGGTGCATTTTCAAGGGTGTTTATGTATGTTGTTTGGCACCAAGAAAAGCCAATAGACACAGAAAGAGGATGGCCTTCCACTAGCTCAGATCTATGTGCATCCATTTTTGTTGTGTTTCAAATGCAAGTTCCTGTATTAAAAAGGCTCTCAAAACTCCTCTTCCCCAAAAATAAAACAAACATTAACCAGTAGATGTAATTGTGCACAGACAAAATTAAAACAAGGTTACAACTGAACCCCTTCTTCCCAAGCCAACCATTTGCACCCCCTAAAAGGCTAAAACACCCAGCCCGGAAAAGGGCAGGGGGAAAAGGCAAAAAGACAAATAGAAACGGATTGACACTAATGTCAAATTACGCATTTCTTTGTCGACATATGTTGGAATAGGATTACAAAAAAAGAAAGAGACCTAATTTTTGCAAACTTATGTGGGTACAACCACTCCTGAATGCGGATATAACTGTAACACAACCAGCCAAAAGACTAGGACAAGCAACGTCAACTGTATAAAGAAACAAAAAGTAACCTTGCATACTCTTGTCTGCATCTTCAAAATTTCTTCAGTTCCCAAAATATCTCCACAACACTTTTCCAATTTCTCTGCCTGTTTCTTTAGCACTGTATCCTTGTTCTTGACATCTCTAAACTGTCTTAGCACATGCACTTGCTCACCGACCAATGACTTTGGCTCTTCAAAGAGCCTTTTTTGATCAATTACAGAAACTCTCAATTTCTCTACAGCCCTCATTAAAGCTAGATACTCAATCTCAGCCTCAAACTTTTGCCGGAAGAGGCCTTCAAACTCCAATTCCATCTCTTTCAACTTCTCTAGCTGCAGCTCTGCAGTGCTCCCTGATTCTTCCTTCAGTGACTTGCTGCTGTTTATGGTAGCTTCCAGCTCCACAATCCTTATATCCTTAAGCTCAAGCACAACCTTTGCTTCCTCCAGACTGCTTTCCAGAGACTCTACTTTATGTGTTAAGGTCAATACCTGGTTCTCCAAAGTACTCAAATCATTTTCTCCAATTTTTTTGGAAGCTAACTGGTCAGATAAGCTAGGCTCACAAATTTCTGAGAAAATGGAATCCACAGGAGCACTAGTGTTACCTGAATTGGCATGTAGAGATACAGGCTCCCTTCCTATCTCCCCAAACTTATGAACCTCTGCAATAACACATTGCTCAGTTAATATAACAAGATTCACTCAACAACACTTCTGGTGGCTCAGCATGAAAGAATGCAACATTAAACGTTAAATTCACCAAATAAATTATGGTTAATTTGAGAGCAGGAATAGCAAAACCCAGCCCAAAACACCCATGCCTCCTCATGCTACAACATCTGCAGAAGTTACAGTTTGTACAAAGATAAAAACCAGGCATGCCATTCTACTGGCTCAACAGTACTATATGATTAAAGTTTCCAACTTCCAATAAAAATCCAAGATGTGTGGTCCATAACAACAGATGTAGAAGCTGCATTTTGTGCCAAATTGGATAAGCTCCAAGTAAACTGCTCAAATAAGCAGATGAAAAACAAAGTGAAAGTCCCCCTAAAGCCCCACATTTTCGTAAATACCCCAGTAAGAAGATACTAGTTGGAAATTCCCTTCCTAATATATTTCCAACAAATTTAACATGTTTATTTACTAGGATACCTCAACAAAATGAAGATGGCTCTGCTGTAATTATACAAACAAATTCAGCAAGCAAATATAAAGTTTGACAAGCCCAGCTCCCAGATGAAAAATATCTGAACATAAACTGTAGTCTGATATCAACAAATAGAATTATCACCTTTGCGACTTTGCCTTGATATTTATGACTATGAAGAAGCCAGCATAATCATGAAAAGTTTTAACCAATATAGTACAGAATCATTTCTGAGAATGACCAAATAAATAATTTTCAGATCAACTAAACTATGTTACACGTAAACTGAGGTATAGGTTGAACTAGTCTGATGTAAAGAGCACAATATTGAGCACACATAAATTCATCAAGGAACAGGAAAGAAGCATAAACAAACACACACAAAATACCTTTCTCAAGGGCTTCCTGGATAGACTGGAGGGCCAGGATAGACTCAACCAATGGATCATGAACTGGTAAGCCCCGGTGGTTCTCACTTTTTCCTTTCTTAGCCTTCCAAGACAAATCTAAATCATCCTGTGAAAGCTCTTCATTTTCAGTTACACTCTCATTCCGATAAGCAGTTTGGAGTGCCTCACTGAGCTGCTGTTCACTTGTATAAGCTTCATTGCTATTCTCTCCATTACAATTCACCGACCTTCCACCTTGCTTTCCATTACTAGTAGCAGAAGAAACACCCTGCATAAAGACAAAATAGGAGCTCCGAGAGTCAGATTCCATGCTGGAAGGAGAGTTTTCCTTCTCAATTTTGATCCCTTCTCCTCTGTGCTTCTTAGTGCTTTCAGCAACGGCTTTCCCTAGTTGAACCCTTTGATTTGAATTACCCAAATTTTTTGCAACTAAATTCTTCATCCGGTTGTTCTCCTGAGCAGACCCTAAAACTGCAGGCGAACCATGCCTTAGTTTTGGGGCACTGGCAGCAGTAGATGATTTGCTATTGTTACTCCACTCTTGGCTGTTCTCAGAGCCTGTAGCAGCAGCCCCAAATGCAAATCCAGAATCTAAACTGGAGGCAGATGCCGTAAACCCACATTCTACAGCAGTAAGACCAGGCACATTGTTGAAAACGTTAGAGGGTCCACCAGAATCCTCCGTATTTTGGTCGACCTCATCTGATGACAAATGCAGAGGTGTAATTGGAGTTGTGGAACCGGACAAACCACGCTTCAAAGCTTTACTATAGTCTTCAGCCGCAGCAGCAATATCCTTATTAGAAGTGGGTCTCTTGATCCGCCTCCATTTCTTCAAGCCAAACCCTTTTCTGGTAGAAGGCGATTGGGCAACAGGAGACGAATTCACAGGCTGCACAACAACCTCAACCTCAACCCCATTTACATGATGATTGTTATTATCATTATTATTATTATTACAAGCACTGGGATCAACACCCAATTTGTGAGATTGATTTGGACATGTCCCATTATCCTTGTGATGAAGATGAGGAGAATGAGCTATATTTTGTTGTTGGGTTAGTTGAGCATCTTCAACAGATTGAAGCGCAGAAGAATCCATAGTTAAGTACAAAAAAACCTAAACTAAATACAGGTGAATCAGATGGAAAAGAATAATTACTACAAACAGCAGCCGTATCCTGCAAAATCTACAGGCAGAAGAATGATTCAAGATATTGAATCAATAAAATGAATGAAATTAAATCACTAATCTATCCATATTCCACCCATCATTCTTAATGAATTTCCAAAACAAAAATAAGGAATTAAAACTCAAGTGCTGATCTCAAAAGCAAAATCATATTAATAATAATAACAAAATAATTTCATTAAATATTATAAAAGAAAGTAAAATTTGAAGTACCTCTTCTTACATACGCATAAGCATATCTTCCTTCTGATGATCTGAAATTGAAGCTGATGATGAATATTGAGATTGGAATTGAAAGCCTATTTGAAACCCTAAACTCTGCTTAGATTTGCACTTTTATAATTGGCTTTGGAACTTTGAGGTGGGGGAATGGGAGTAGGAGGGAGGGAGACTAGTGTGTTTTTTTTTTTTT